AAGTCTGGCTAGGGAATTTCTATTACCCTTCATTAAAAGAGACATAGATTATTTTCACTTCTATCAGAATGAGGGCCTTGGTCTCAGACAGGTACAGGGGGTCACTGGGAATGTTTCACTTATGCTCAGAATGATTATGCAGGGATAATGAAGAGTTTAATAAAGTCTTTGAATGTATTATGTTTTCTCCTTTAAATAACACATTTACCTCATGAAACAGTGAAAAGAGCCTGTGGTGTGGAATCAGGGTATGATAATGGAGGCAGTCAGCAGTTGGGGGAATGAGGAGACAGAAGTAGGATTCCTGCTTTGCCATTTATTAAGACCTAAGATTTTTTTCTTTGTATATGTGAGTTTATTGACTTTTGCATGGTTGTTGTACTGTGTGCTGTATAATGTGCCTGGTACATAACTTAGGTGCCCATTAAGCTGTTGTTTTCATCATCTGGTCATGATGGATCTTCTCATATGACTTCTGGGTAGTGTAAAACCCAGTATCCAAAACTTGTTAGGGTAATGGAGATACTATGTGTGAAAAAGTAGTAAAAAATTATTATCCTTATTTTAAAGAGATTTGCAAGAAAAATGGTATTAATCATTGTAATAAAATTTTATGCATGGTGCATATCAAGTTTAATAATGGGGAATTTCACAGGAAGATGAGCAAATTACTTAGTTACTTTCTCCTTGCTGGAACAAAATACCAGATAACCACAAGTTAAAAGAAGGATGATTTATTTCACCTCACCGTTTGTAGAGTTTTCAGTCTGTAGTTGGCTGGCTCCAAGGCAGGTGTTATAACATAAGCCATGGCAGAGAAGCAGTCCATGGTGTGGCAGATGGGAAGCAGCAAGCCTACTTTTCCTTTTATTTATTCCATTCAGGCTTATTGTTTGGTGCCACCCATACCCAAGGTGGGCCTTTCCATTATCCACACCCAGAACTCCGATAAACCAATCAGGGGACTAATTCAGTTATCACACCCATGATCCAGTCACCTCCCAAAAGCCCCACCTATGAGTGCATGAAGCTTTGGGGGGACACCTAGATACAAGCCCCTTATATCTAGGTCCCCTTGGTCTCTAGTTTATTCTTTCTCCAGGTATCTCACTGTGTTTATATCTCTTAGTTTAGAAACCATAAAGTGCCTCTGTTTTTATAACTGCAAATGGGATTACCATCTACATTATAAAGATGATTAGAAAGATGCATGAAAACCTATAGCAAACACTGAAGTATTGATGACTGAACATCAATGAATGGAAAGTGCTACAGTGATTATTGTGACTACAAGATGAGAATTCTCCTTTCCATCCAGGGATATCTGAAGAAGCTACAGAAAAGCTATTATACTCCTGATTTCAAAAGAGTTGCTTAGAGACTACTAAATGCTAAGAAATTGAACTAGCAGGGAAAAGGCATTAACTTTTTTTTAAGTTTCAAAGTTACACAGGAGTGAAAGAGACATTTTATTCCAACTGCTTTTGCAATCCAATGGGTTTATTATATCCAAAAGACTATGGGACCTATTTCTGCTTTTCTTCTCTGCTATAAAAATGATGTCCATGTGCTTTTATTTCATCACCATTCAGCTTCTTTAGAGTAATGAGATAGAAAAGAAACACCTGATCCCTCTCCTAAGTGTATTTGAGTTATAATTCCACCCTACATTTTTAGTTTGTCTTTGAAGGCCATGTAGCTTACAGTGGTCCTTCTGTGTTCTACTATAAAATAACCCCAAACATGAACAAGCTTGACAAAATTACATCTCAGAAATTAAAAATAGAGTTTCTTACGTCCAGAGGTCCTATGTTTCACCACCACCTGCCCCCTTGCATCCCCCACCCCAACTCACACTCACACACACACACACACACACACACGTATCCTTGGCCACAGGAAGAGAAATGGGATGACAGAGTATTTTTGCTTCTTCTCTGGGGAGGCTTTAGGCTTCTGGCCTTTGTACTTTAAGGATGTCTTCTGGTAATCTATACTATCAGTTATTTCTGGAGCATATCAGCACCATTTGATTTTCTCTCCTTCATGCTTATTTTCTTTTCTCTGTACTACCTTCAGGGCCAAATTTGTTTTTATTTCATAAATGAAGAAGAATGTAAATCAAGAGAACTTAAAGAGTTTTCTTGACATCATCATTTTCTTTGCTATTAATTTAGCTTTTATATGAACATAGTGAGATACTTCATGATTGACTACAAATATTAGACACTGAGTCTGTAGCTATTATCTTTCACTTTTTAAAGATACAATGATTTAATCACAGTGTTTCCAGTTCTGCTCATTGCCAGGAAAAACTGACATGTACTTTTGAATCTGGATAATTCCCCATTGTGGTCTGAGGATACATCATGAAAGATCTCAAGGAAGTAAATGCAGAGACTATCCACTAGTGCTGTGTAAATGGAACACCATAATTCTAGGAGTGTTCTATGCTCATAAATAGTTACCTGAAAGTATAGTTTTCCTGAAGGTATAATTCACAGTTGACAGTTTAATATGTAAAATTCACTCCGCTGGAAAGTTACAAACATTAATCAAAATGCAATCTTAAGCTTCTAGATGTAACATAACAGAAGAGCAGAAAAGCCCTAAAATAAAAGGTATGACATTTATTTTTACAAAAGCAATAAACACACGATGGGTAATATAAAAACTTCATTCATCTATATCTTAGTTTTGAGGTCAGTTCTTGCTTAAAGGAATTAGTTTCATGTATAGTGGTGCCTCAGTTCACAAAAGCTTTTGTTTGCAAACAATTTGGTTAACAAACTGATACATCTGGCAGAATTCTGTTTTTGTTTGCAAACTCTGCATTGGATTACAAACAGGACCATGGCCATCTTTCCCACACAAACACAAATGTGGATGTCTTTTCCAAAATTATAGAACAAATCAAGTTTGTGAACCGAGGTATCACTGTATCTGGTTCCTCCCCTCTATAATAACATTTAATTCAAAAACAATTTGACTTGGCATTTTTTCTATTTCATTATCAAAAATTTTCACCAATTCAGTGCCAAACAATTTGCAAGTATTGTCATTACCCATAAAAGTTCATGCAGAGTTCACTGACACTAAATCAGTAGTTCATAATTGATAAACTGAGCCCTAAAATTCACTGAGACCTGAAAAAATGTTAAATGAATTTTTATAATGATTACAACTTTAATAAATATAAGCTGTTCATATATAATTTTGCAGCTATATTTGCTATCAGAGTGTTGAGGACACATCAGGAATACCGCTTCCGTTCACATAAGCAACAATATTTCCTCTAGGTAGTTTAAGTACATTTTCCATTTTGATTCTTTTGCCACATTCTTGGGATCATATTGGACCTGTGTCACAGTACCTGGTGACATCTAATCATGATTTTTATATAAACACTTTTCTTTATATTATGTGTTAGTCACAAAAATGAAATCCTCTTACTCTTTATAATTTCTGATCTCCCAATTTAGTCTAACATCCCTGGATTTACAAAAACAGTACATGTTTTCTTTGTTAGTCACCACTGATATATAAACCACTGATATATAATTCATCCCATCCTGTTTAAAAATGCTTTTCTATACTTAAAACAACAGTGGTAAAGGAGAAATACACAGATCAACCATTCTTCCTCTCCAAGCTTTTTATCTTCCTAAAGAAATGTTCACAGAGTTGCTAACTGTATTTAAAAGAATTCCACATCCACCATTTAAAAACTTCCAATCATGTTATTGGAGACAAAACCCATAGTTAGAGTTTATGGAGCAGTTGCTAAATCTATGGCCTCTGGCAGTTGTTTTTAACAGATCAAAATAGTGCTTACATCTGCCATTCACAATAGTTGCTGACATTGTCACTAAAGTGATGATTTGGATAGCTGACTTTGTGGTCCTCACCTGGCAAAACAGTTTCAAGAAACAGTCTTCATTTGTACTCTTTGTACTTATTAGTTTAGCCTTCTGTGAGAAGGATAATTGTCTCTCTAATTCATGCCCTGAAAGTTGAATAACTATAATGAAAACATTAGGTAATATATTATTGTCTTCAGTGTATACATATGTGCTGACATTTCAGACATTTGTCTGAAGTCAAGAAGTGTCCTTTCTCAATAAATATATGTTATAGTCTATTAAGATAAGAATATTTTTCCTGTTGCACAAAAGTGCCTAACGTATTATTATAGAGATGCATCTTTCATAACATCTGAGCACAAAAGTATAAGAAAATTAGCTCCTATCCTTCAGTGCTCCTATTGCCATTTAGTTATTTTTTCATTTTTGTCATATACATCTTTGTCATCTCTTCAAATAAACTAGAATCTTGCAGTCAGGTACTGTAATTTACAAAACCTCTAAATTCGATACAGAGCCAAAGTCATTGTGTAAACAGAGAAAATGATGTCTCTTTAAGACTACCTGGGTTTCACTTTAGAGTCATACAAAATATACCTCTCTTCAATTAGTTAGGATGTTGCATTTTTTAAAAATAATTTTAAAGAGCAACAATCAAAGGTTTTTTGCTCTAAGATTTCTTAGTTCCCCAAAAAAGACTTTGTAAACTAGAAATTACAAAATTTTTAAAGATACTTGAATCTGAAGTTTTAATGACCTGTTTTTTAATTTTTTGTCAACTGCTCCAGAATTATTGGGATAGTTATTCAGTATAAAAAACATAAACCTAACATATTTTAATATAATCCTAACCCACTGCAGTTCCTGAAGAGATACACTAGTATAAGTTTTACACTGAGAGATGCCTCCATAAAAATTTATGCAAATGAAATAACAAATTCTAGACCATTGTATATGTGATTTTTCAAGAAACAATTTCAAATGAGCTTTCATCTAATAAGCTAATTTTAATTTGATAAATATATTTCAAATGGAAAGTTAAAATTCATCTAGGAGTAGTAATACTTTTATTGTGGGTGAGTGCATTGAGTCAAACAATGAAGTATCTCTTTAAAAATGTTCTTATGTTTTCCATAGGTGGATAAGCGGAGCAGCCGTAGTCAATGCATTTTATTCTTCAGGCAGAAATCAGATAGGTAAGGTATATTTCTAAATAATTCTTTAATATTTTTCAATTGTTCCCAACTCATAATGTATAGTGTGACCAGTTTATAATATAAAACAAAACTTCAGCTGAGGCTGAGTTATTGATTTATTAAATATATTTCATGTACATGTTTTCACTATAATGGAAAAATTTAAATTAGCACAAATCATATTAAATAGTTTTGTTTCTTTTACAATATTCTCATTTATAGCTAAAATGGTTTCTCTTATTTCTAAGTAGTTTATTTCTAATTACTTTTAAAAGTCCTTCATATATTTCTATAAAATAATATTGACTTTCAGACTTAACTAAGCATCAGCATTTTAAAATAGTTCAAGCTTCTAAGAGCAAAATTTTTGTAGACCTGAGTCTCCTGGTAATTATGTGTGCTGACTGGTAAAGATGGCCCCATTCTATAGCATCTTCATTCCAAAACCCACCAAAGAGTTCAGAAATTTGAAAACTCAATTGTATTAAATTGAATCATGTAAAGTTATGGATTAAAAAAGTAAAAATGTGGATGTTCACTGATAGTGACATCTCAGAAATATGCATAAAATCAATACATGAATGAGTGATACAAGGAATAACTGAATTACTTCATATAACAAAGATTTATATTCTTTTCCTCTGGATTAGGCTTGGATATCTTTAAACTCTCCATTGTTACAAACCTCTTCTTTCAAAAGGAATGTATAACAATATCCCACTGATTCAGTACTGTGAGAGATATATTAAATATACAGTAGACTCTGACTTCTCCAGGGTTACTCAGACTCCCCTTTTATTTCTAAGTGTGGTCCAGAATCAGGAGGGATAGTAATTCCACTATTGTTATAAACTACTCATTTTATATCTCAGGGTCTCATCTTTTTGGAATTCTCTCATGAATTTGATTATTAATTATGAAATTTTTTCAAAATATTCATCATTGATTAAAAAACAAACTTATATATCTTTTTTATTTTAAAGCTTGATTACACCTTTCTTTTTTGCTTTTAGTCAGGAAGAGATGATTAAGAAGTTGTTTACATTTTCTTCTAGTATTTTTATGTTTTCCATTTTTGGAGTATATTTTCATTAGTCCAGAATTTATTTTGATACATGATATGAAAATAAATTATACAGTCAAAAATGTTATCTTTATATCACAAAAATAAGATGTGTGCACCTAAGTTAAAATCAGTTAGCTCGAAGTCTAAACTAATATGTTTTCCAGACAAGAAAATAGCTTTCTAAACCTAGATGAAACCTGCTTATGATCAACTTTTCAGAACCCAGGCAATCAGTCCTGTGTAATATATTTCTAGAAAACAGTCACAAGCTTTTTTCTTAGAAATACCTTTATGTTTGGAATATCTCTCTTTTTAAAATTAAATATGATTCTGGGGCTTGAACCCAGTGACAGATGCATGCTAACCACACACTCTACCTCTGAGACATAACCCCAGCCCTTGGAGACCTCTAATATTCAGTAATTCTGTTGTTATAAGATTCAGTTCATTCTATCCAGAAACCCAGTCATCTTAACTAAACTTAGTGCAATCCCAAAGTAAAGTAGGCAATTAGACCCATATTTTTGCATCAGGGCAGACTGAGGAATATACCTTCATTTCAGTCCACCTCAGGGAGGTCCCTGGATCCTATCAGACAAGTGCTGATTCATCCTCGAGGGAAGGGGCCAGGAAGATCTTCCATTATAACATGTTCATAACTTCAGCCCTTCTCCAGGGCCTGTTAAACAGGAACTAGCATCCCAGCCTGTTGGTACATACCTGTAATTACGGCATTTTGTGAGACTGAGGCAAGAGAATTGCAAGTTCATGTCCTACCTGGGCAACTAGCAAGACACTGTCACAAAAGTTATAGATAGATAGATAGATAGATAGATAGATAGATAGATAGATAGACAGACAGACGAGGGATGTAGCTCAGTGGTAAGGCTTCTCTGGGTTTGATCTTCAGTAAAACACACAGACACACACACATGTGCCCATACACACACACACATACACACACTTTCATGACTTTCATGATTCTTAATTTAACAAGTCCTTGGAATCTCAAAATTGGTTCAAATAAGAAATTTTCTGATCAGAGAAGAGCTAGAAATATCCTCATTTGAATTTAAGCATACAGAAAAAAGTAAAAGTGGTCTACCATTTCACAAAATGAACAGTTACCCTCTGAATCAAGAATTGACTATAAAGCACATTCTTAATATTTAAGAAACACCTTTTTAAAATTTTTTCAAGATAAACTCAACTGATGGAAATATGAAATAAAAAGCTTGTTGACCTCATCATATGTTTGTCTGTTGATAACAGCAGTTCAGATGAGGGGAAATGTTATGCAAGACAAGTTTTTGAAATGTGTACTTTGTTTCTTTAACTATTTAAGTCTTCACAGTGGGGATTATCTTATCTAAAACTAACCAAATGTTCAGATCATCTTTCTCCTTGATAGAAATATGTTTATATAAATACACCCATATACATAAACAACACTGTCTTCATGGGTTTTGTATGAGGCCCATTACAAAATTTGAGTTGATAGAGAAATATGTGCCACATAAATGAACTTTCATGACATAGATATATAAAATACCCCATATTTAATGGCATATAGTTTCTCATGAGGTTGGTCGTTTAGGTTGTTACATTAAAGAAGTAACTTACTGTGCTATAGCAAGTTACTCATGTTGATCATTTCTACTTTTAATTGAATCTCCACCATCTTTAGTCAGAAATCATGCATGTGGACTACATTCAAATTTGTGTGCACCCTCCACCTCTTCACATTGACAAAAAGTCAATTTTTTTTTTCAGGAAAAGAGGGCCCACTAAGTATTTCATTCAGTGTTCCTCCTCTTTGAACACTTATTTCATGGAAGCTTTCCATACCACATCTCTGGGAAACTCCACTAGAATATTTCTATCAGTTCCTGGCACTATTTGATCATCTTATTAAATTTAAAAATCTTCAGTCAAATGGAAAAAATCTTAATATTGCTGTGCTCTATTTTTTCATTAAAATTGCAGTAAAATTCTTTTAAATCAATTTTTTTTTTAAATTTCAGACATGTCTAAGTTATTTAGTGTGTGCAACCTGTAGTCTGTGAATACCTTGAGATGATTAGATTTTCTCAAATGTTTTTTTTATTCTTAGGAGTTATGAGTGAGAAAGTCAATGACTGTTTCCAAACATTTTGCTATTCCACTTAATGCAAAAAGAATATTTAATTATTTTTCACTAAAAAAATTTCTCCCAATTATAAACTTGACTTTTATATGAAATATTCTAAAGTTGAATTGTATGCAATCTTAAAATATAAATTAGGGAAATTGCTGGATCAAGGCCAAGGAGGTAAAAGAAAAGGAAGAAGAAATCCAATCTTTTTTCATGGACTAATGATTTAGCTAATTAATTAACTTTTTAACAATTATGAACACAAAAAATGCACAATTAAGAGGTTAGTTAAAAGCAACAGTTGTGAAATTTACTTGTAACACCAATAAAGGTAATGGAGAAAATCTTCATTACAGAAATTTAGCTGACAATGTAAAGGGGAGAACATCATTTGTAAAGTTGAACTTGAAAACTAGTATTTAATGTAAGCCATAAAAATCTTATCACTTGCTTGAAGGATGGCATAGGTATAATTAAATCAGCAGGATCTTTATGGTTAATGTTTAGTCTTGATAGCACATTTATATAATGGGTGGATTTTAATCAAAGTACATAGTGTGGGAGATAGTGTTCACTTTAAAGTTAATAAAGTGGTGCACATAATTTTTATATTTTAAGCTAAAAATAATTTCTTGGCACTGTTTAGCTCAGGCAGGTACACGTGAGTTATAACTTATCACAGTTCTCTAAGGACAAAAGTACTTTTTTATTATTTTGTCATTTAAATGTTATGGCAACTTTCCAATTTTTTTAAAGATCTGGGGAGCTATTAAATTGTTCAAAATGTTTTTCCTCTCAAACCCCTGTAAAGTTAGGTCACATTTAGTTTATCTAAAAGATAAATAAACAACATTTGTTTTTGTGTGTTAACTAGATCTTAAATTTCTTATAAACAGGGCCCTTCTCTTATATTCTTGATATTTCACAGCAATGGCCCAACTTCAGTTTTTGTTTTTTGTTGTTTTTTTCAATTACAGAACATAATGTCTCTGTTACTTGGTGGATACTAGAGTTTTAAAACATGAGACAAAATTACTAGAATATAACCATAATTTTAGTTAATTTCTAAAATTCAAAGATTAATCAGCTCTTAAGAACATTGTCCCAAAACAATGTTTACTTATTGAACAAGGGAAATATATTTCAAAGGAAGAGAATGAAGGCACTTTATTCATATATTTCAAGAACAGTGAAAGTGTTGTTGGACTGGAGTATTAATTGTAAGAGGATGATGGGAAGGGGCGGGAAATGGAAAGAAAGGAGAAACAGGACAGGACCATGGAGACAAAGGCCAGAAAGATATTGTATTTAGTTGGAGAGCAAGGATAAGCCATGTAGAGTTTCTCAGCAGGAGAGGAGTAGTGATCAGAGTTAAACTTTAACCTGGCTACAGAATAGATTAACGAGTTAGATATGATTTAGGATAAATTATATTTTGGAGAGACAAAAGGTGGGAAGAACAATTAGGAAATGAGATAATCCTTGAGATGAGGAATGAGTGTGAGGGAGTTAAATGAAGAATGCTGCTGGAAGGAAGGTGTGTCAGCCAAGCTTTTTCTCAGCAGACCACAAATGGCTATACATGAGAAAGGACATCTAAAATAAATAGAGTTCTCTATTGGTAATTGGGACCCTTAAAGTCCTATTAGCAGAAACACTAAAATCAAGAGAGTGATAACTTAGAGGGGAAAAAGTTGGATGTTTGATACATTAAAGTGTTTGTGAGGCATAAAAATGGAGAAAGTTGACAAACTAGTGCAGATGGTACTTACCAAACTTATTAAAGCACCTTAGTAAATTAAGATTACTATTAATTAATGTATCACTGATTATTTGTTAAATTCAGTTCCTGAACCCTGATTATGTTCCAAGCAATACTCTGGTTTTAGGTTCAGGAGATAATGAAATAAAAAACAAATAGATCAAAAAAACAAATAAACAAATGAATTTACAGACATACAAATCTCTACTATTAAAGAGCTAATATTTGAAGTGGTGGAAAAGGGAGTGGGGCAGTTAGGAAAAGGAAGGAATTCAATCATATATAAAGAAATAAACAGAATAAAAGGTGATTATATATGCTCAATGAAAATAAAATTATCTCATAAAGGGATGCCTTTGAATTAATGGCTCTTTATTTAAGATGCTATTGTAGATGGATAGAATTTTAGAAATGACATTGAAAGAAACTTTCTTCCAAGTTATTTGCATGGGGGAAAGGACCTTCTGAGTGTAGATTATAACTTTTCCTTGCCCTGAACTCCTTTCAGCAAAAAATAATCTTAAAAGATACTGCAAAGTGGACTGTGATGAATAAATTATATATTATGATGTCACTCCAAGATGATCTCTTTATTGTCTTGATCAATAATAAAATACTTTCATTTGTTTCTATCACAGAAGGTTTTTTGTGTAGACCTAAGTGAAACTATAGTAGAAACTATATTAGAAAACATTTTAGAAAATAAGAAGCCAACTCTAGTCCTTCTGTGATAGGATAATGCCACAAATAATCTGCAGCTGTCTTCTCTCCTTGCAGTCTTCCCAGCTGGCATTCTGCAGCCCCCCTTCTTTAGTGCCCAGCAGTCAAACTCATTGAATTATGGGGGCATTGGCATGGTCATAGGACATGAAATAACCCACGGCTTCGATGACAATGGTAAAGTGTCATTCATATTTTCCTTTGCTGTGTATCCTCACCAATTTGAAAAGAGGTATAACTTCACTTATTCACCAGTGTATTGTTGACCTAATTTTACTATACTTTGTGGTTCCTTTAAATTGTTGCTTTAGAAGAAAAGAAAATTTATAAGTATTTAAGTGATGTATACTTGCATTCTAAGAGAATAAAACAAATATTCACATTGAGAAAATTCTATTCTACTAAGCAGATTTTAAGTTTCAAAGAAAGCTGAGAGCAATAGAAGTAAAGACATGAGGTATGTAAAGAGGTGAGAGTTGAGGCTATAACAAAAGTTTGTTCACAAGTGAAGAAAATAAGGAAAAAAAGAGCAAGAAATAAACGTCAACTACAACCAATTTTAGAGAGCCAGAGAAATAAAAAGATACAGAAGGGTATAATTTTTTAAAAGATCTACTAAGTGCCTATTAAATCAATTAAATGATGCAACAATCTTAACAGGTGGGTACTAGTCATATTTCCATTTTTAAATTAAGACAAATATAGGTACATAAAATGTTTGTGCAAGGATACAAAGCTGGCAACTGGTGGGATCTGCATGTGAGTTCAAGCAGGCTCCCTAGCCCTTTTCTAGTCACTACATCATAGATAAATATTAAAAATAATCATAACACATGACATTCTCATGCAACTGGAGCTCAGAATGTGGGGGATAAATGTAGTTTATCAAGAAAGCTCCAGGAGGAAAAAAGATACTGTGTGTGTCTATGCATGCATGCGCCCGCTCCCGTGTGTGCATGTGTGGTGTGTGTGTGTGTGTGTGTGTTGGAAATAAAGAGAAACTGTGAACCAGTGTCTTATGAAGGGTCTGGAAATATAAAATGCATGCCAGAATAAAAATATTGATCATTTTCAAATCTCAGAATATCAAATTAATCAGACTTGATTCAGGTAAAACCATCCAACAGAACAAGGCATGATTTCGGGATTGTCTGATCTGACGGACTCATTGGAGATATTAAGAGCCAGGTGCAGATAATATCTAAGTCAATACCAAGGCACATCAGCAAAGAAGGCTCTGTCGGTCCAGGCTTTCCAAACTGTAAATGAAGAAGAATAACAGTTTCTTTCATCATCTATCCAATTTAATGTTCTCCCATGTAGCAGTATTGTAGTCCTTGCACTTTAATGAAAGATATCTGTAATTCTTGTTATGAGTTTCCATTTTACTTAAACAAATATATTACAGGCAGGAATTTTAACAAGGATGGAGACCTGGTTGACTGGTGGACTCAACAGTCTGCAAATAACTTCAAGGACCAATCCCAATGCATGGTTTACCAATACGGGAATTTCACCTGGGACCTAGCAGGTGGACAGCATGTATGTCACTGGCAGTTTCTGGAAAAGTTTTAGATGTGTTCAATTATAAGTTGATTGTTGATGTTTTTCTTAACAAGCTAATGAAAGGTCTCTTTCTAACAGCTCAATGGAATTAATACATTGGGAGAAAACATTGCCGATAATGGTGGTCTTGGCCAAGCATATAGAGTGAGTAATTTTCTTCCCATTTTAGTGATCAGAGTATTTATTTATCATATTTAATCATTTATTTAAAGACTTTTGAGAAAAGACTTATATGAAATAACCAATAAGTGGGAATAGAAAATGGAAAATATGTCAGGAGAAATTGGATTGTAAATATAGTAACCATAGGATTCAATATAGTAGATAGAGTTGAATACCATTCTCTCAAGTTTCAAAAGAAGCCAAGAAGAAGAAACACTGAATGTTATTTCAACAGAAAGGAGGATATATATATATATATATATATATATATATATATATATATATATATTAGTCTTGTAGTATCTGCATGTAATCCCAGCACTTTGGAAAGCTGAAGTAGGAGAATCTAAATTTGAGCCAAGCTCAGCCTAGCAAGGGAATTTAGTGACTTAGTGAGACCTTGGAAGGGAGGACCAAGAAAGGGAAGGGAAAGAAAGAATCACTGAAATAAATTTCTTATCTTTGAAAAGATTCCCCACAAAAGGATTATTTCAGGGTTTTTAGTTAGTATAATGAGTAGGACCCTCAGTTTCCCCACAAGTGAGACAATTTGGTGGGGGGGGGGGGACAGTCATCGGCGTAAACCACAAGCATAATATATTAAGCCATAGTTGTTCATAGTCACAGAGTTAGGGTCTGGAAGTGATGTGGCACCAGTGTGTGGCTTTATAATTGGCCTATTTAGTGCACTCGCAGAAGTGTTAATCAATGGCACATCATTTACAATCTTATTTACCCTTCCATTCATTCTTGCATTCAGTAAAATCTTTTGTGAGAGCTTTGCTATGAGTTTGGCTATTCTAAGTGTTGCAGATATAAGAACAAACCTTCCATTAAAGATGTAATCTTTTAATGATCTGAGTAAGAATTACTCACAAAACAGTATACACACAGTGGAGTGCTACTCTGCTATAAAGAAAGATAAACTTGAGTCGTTTGTAGGAAAATGGATACACTGTGAGAACATAATGTTAAGTGAAATTTACACACAAGCTTAAATATCACATGGTATCTTTTATATGAGAAACCCAAATTATAAAGAGCAAAATAAAAGATAGATTTAAGGAAGTAGGAAGATAGATCTTTCTTTCATTGGAAGGTGATCAAGAGATGGAGAGAGGGGGGTGGGAGGGGAGGAAAAGGGTATGAAAAAAGGAATTGAGATGAGTTATGTACATGTGCCAACTCCCCACAAGGAAGGTAAATATTGTGTACTGCAAACATGTATAGTACTAATAAAAATAAATAAATACCTAAAATGTCTAGTAAACACCATGTGCAAAGAGAAAATAAGGATTTCCATAAGAGTGGAGGAATGATTTTCTTGAAGCAACAAATAGTGGTGAAGATGAGATTGAGTTGCTTTTTTCAACCATGAAGTAGCTCACATCTGTGAGAGAATGACCACAATCTACTTGAGGTTATGAAGAAACAAGATGTTCCTAGGATAGAACCCGGTATCTCAAAGAACACTCATGGAGTGGAAGAGGATATGGGGTTATTTGTTCACCACAGAAATGTTGAATTAGAAGGAGAAAGGAGCACACTGGTGATTGTATCAGAGAAGAGGAAGGATCAGAACAGTATAGAGAGATGATAACAAATTGATCAGTTTGAGGCCTGGGAGATTACAGCAGCTGAAAGTTGCCAAAAGAATGAATCCCAACCCAATCCTAAGAGACGGTAGGCATATTGCTGCTTCTTTGAATGCTGAGGTGTTTTGATTTGGTTTGGTTTGCTTTGGATTTTTTTTACTAATGCTAGACATTTTGCATTTTACCTCTTTGTGTCCTGGATGGTTTTTGTTTTCCTGCAAATATTCTTGAGCTTTATTCTCAGTTAAATTCCTTAGACATCATTTGATTCTTTTGAGTCTTGGTTTTTACATCATGACAGGTAGGACTTGAATAGTCCTCAGAGTAGGGACCATTATTCCCCACTCCTGAGGCAAAACCTTAAGGTGTGAATCTTGAAGTTTTCCATTCTTGTCCTGTGTGAGTACAAGACCTGTTATCTCTGATCCTTTTGGGGAGTCTTTCCCTAGCCTTGGACACTTTACACACACCACTCCAGCCTATACAAGCTGAATACTTAGTATTCAGCTGTGATTTCTGAGGTTCTCTGTCTTTGAGAATTTCTCCTCTTTAGTACCCTGTCCCTGGTGTCCTTGCACCATCAGCTTCTCCTCAGAGTTCCCCAGGCTTCCACTGAGTTTCCCCTCCCTATATTTTGATCTGAAAACTTCAGAGGACCAGAATAGTTGCTTATCCTTACCATTACATTCATAGGTACTAGGACCGAACCCTAAGGGATCTCAAAAGAATCCCTTGACTTTTGGCAACAATCATTCAAACCAGGTCTGATGTGAGTCTGTTTGCTAAGAACAGTAAGTAAGCTAAATATAGCAATTGCAGATGGCTTCCTTGGCGATCTAGTTCTCCAGCTGGCTGGTCCTACCTGTCTATCTTTAGAAAAACATTTACATAAGCTTTTCATCACCTCTGTATGTCGTTCATTCATTCCCCTGACATTTATTGACCATTTGACATGTGCCAGACTCTTGTCACTCACTAATCAAAACTGTGTTCTTTTCAGAGCATTTATAAATATTATTTATCTTCCTAATCTGGGCAGTAGTTGTCAGTTGCCATTATCTGAATTATTATGGTGATTTTTATATAAAAGGTTAATTACTTGGTTAACATGGTCTTTTGCATAGGTTTATGTATAAATTTAGAAATTATAAACATCATATTTCTATTTTACTAATGTCCTAGGCCTATCAGAATTATATTAAAAAGAATGGTGAAGAAAAATTACTCCCTGGACTTGACCTAAATCACAAACAACTGTTCTTCTTGAACTTTGCCCAGGTACTACATCTTTCTTGATTGATAAATATGAAAATCATTTTGAGTTGTGATTTCACAGTAAGTGAGGTATTATACGCTGAGTTTCCTTGTTTTAATCAGTTGTGCCAGAACATTTGACTTGAGTGACTTTCATTGTTTATGAATGTCAGATCATATTCATAATAAATAATTATGTCCCTACTTGCCTTTCATTGAACATTATTTGAAGAACCAATGATTGAGGAATGCAGAACACCAATTTAATTCTGCTTTTCCCCCCATCCATCCCAAACAAATCTGTGATTAGAACTGAACACACTGCTTTGCTTTTCCTAAACTACCTCTAGGTGTGGTGTGGGACCTACAGGCCAGAGTATGCAGTCAACTCCATTAAAACAGATGTGCACAGTCCAGGCAATTTCAGGTATGTAGGTTTGAGCCAGGGTGCTTCAACATTAACTCCATTGCTCCCACATTTGGAATTTGGCCTTTTGTAATCTGATTCTATAACATTTGAGAATCTGATGCAACTTAACATGCTGTCTCAAAATGAAGAATAAAAAGGACTGGAAATGTAGCTCAGCACCGAGGCTCTGGGTTCAATCTCTAGTACCAGAACAAAACAAGCAAAATTATTCACTCTAAAACTGTTTATTGTATGCCTAATCTCTGCATAATGTAAGCTACATTTAGTTCTGCGAGTACGTATTAAAAATTTCTTTGTTTAAAATGCATTCCTTACCTTCTTGCCTTAATATGGTATCCTGAGTCATAACTAATTTTTTGATGAGATAGGCTATTGTTATGATCACTAATGAAGACTTTGGTATTTATTAATTTAGTGAAATCTTCTAAAGCTGTTGTATGTATAACTCTTTATTGGCATACCAGTGGTGATACTTTTTCATTTATTGTGGCTTTTTATTGGGTTTTCCTGTATGTTTGTTTTTGCCCTAATACTAGATATTACTTCATCTCTGTGCCTCAGTTTCTTGACATATAAAATGCTGGTTAAATTATTGTGAGAGCTGCTGGAGGATTAATGTTAATGCATGTGAAGTGCCTATTACAAATATGCATTTGAAAATAGTACTAGGATTATTTCTAGATTAGAGATTTGAACAGAATAAAAACCTTGTAGAAAAATTATTTCCATATCACCTAAGAGTCAAGTGCTTTATCTTGCTCATTTCTTATATTCAGCACAGTTCACGATATCAATAATTGATTAGTGGTTAAGTGATACACAAGTTAGTAGGTAACTGTTTTCTACCCCCCAAATTTGAACTGAACAACATTGATTATAAATATGTGAGTTATTTGTGTCTTTAATTTTTTTTGGCTCTGTTTCCAAAGATAACTCTCTGACTATTTTTCATTCATAATAACAGAAGTATGTGTGTGTGTTTTTAAGGGTAAATGAATGCCAATCTTTTGTCAAGGAAACTATTATTTTCCCTGGAGGTAAAAGGATTTCCTTGGCAAAAGATTGAGGTTACATTTAGTTTTGGAAACAGGCTGTTTCCTGGCTATACAAAGTAAAACAGTTTTTAAAGAACTTTAAAAACTAATAGACGTTCAGAAAGCAAAAATTGTGCTTGGTGGTGGATATAAAAAATACTTCCAAAATAGAGAATTTGTAATTTTATGCTTAAATAACAATAATATTGAAAACAAAAGCCAAAATATTCTTGATGTAAAGATAAAATCTATAAAACTATAATTTTTATGTCTAATCTATGATTGTTTCACTCTTCCTAAAACCATATCTACTTTAATATAAACCTTTAAAACCTTCAAAAGTTAAAACACAAAACATTTCCCAATGAATATGCTAGAAATTAAATCCATGATTTAAACATTGCCTTCTTTTTGGAAACCTAGTTTTTAGTTGGCCATGATCACATAAGAACACTTCCTATATAATCAACAAATGTGTTTACATTATTTAGATATAATAATTCTACATTATATATGTAAGGGTCTCATGATTTTTTAAAGCATGTTAAAGTAAACAAAAATTATTTAAATACTTCTGTTGCCCAGTATTATCTCCCACACATGGAAAAAAAGCACCTGATAGAAACCCAAATATAAATTAAGAGCAAAATAAAAGATCAATAATAGGAAAAAAGAAGATAGATCCTTTGTAAAAGGGAAGGGGACCAAAAGATAGGGCAGGGGTGAGATGATGGAAAGAATTAAGATGTGTTATTTACGAGTTCCAGCTCCACAAGAGGAATGTAATCAATATGTACTGATAAAAAAAAAAACCCCTGAAAAAATAAAAGTAAGATCCAAGTTGCTCCATCAAAGAAAAAAAACTATCACCACTAACAAGTCAAGTAATGCCTTTCCCAGCTTAACTTCCAATGTTTTTAAAAGAATATTCTTTCTAGTATTTTATAAAGACATCTTCAACTAAATATACTCTTGTTTTTTTCTAATAATTTAGCATGCTTAAGCTAACCTCTCATGTTTTCTCTGCTTACTTTAAATATTAACACTGGTTCCTGATATTTTGGTGAGCTTTTTAGAATTCTTGTTAGCTTCTATTAGTATTTAGTACTTACTAAATATCTCTTCCACCTTTTTTTTCCTTTTTCATGGTGCTGAGCATTAAACATAGGGACTTCCACATACTAGCAAATGGTAGGCACATGCTCTGCCATTGAGCTATACCTCCCAGCCTCACTTGTTTTTTCCATTACTGGGGATTGAACCCAGGGCCTCAACATGCTAGGCAAGTGCCCTACACTGAGCTGTATCACCAGCCCTAATCTCTTCAGGACTATATAGTGGAATATACACTCATCATTGTGGCTTTGCTCTGAAAGAATCATACCAATTAGCTAATGATAAAGATGAGTAATTTATTTATGAATGAAGCCAGTTAAATTTGTACCCAAATAATTCACTTAAAAGAAGTAGTAATAGGTTTTCAATGGACCTATTAGTAGTAAAAACTTTATTCACTAATTTAAATATCCAGTTACTTGTAGGCAGAAGTAATCCAATATGTTGGAGATCAAAATATTCATTCTTGGTCACTGGATGTTCAATTCCATCTCTTAAATGTTTTTAATGCATTTTTCATTTTCCAAGGCAATAAACACGGCAGCACAACACATGATTTTGTGTAATGTAGTAAAAATTTCCAACAAGCCACCTTAAGAAATAATGAAAATATTTACATTTTGTTACTAAACATGCAAATGCAAGAGCTACAGAGCTTTAATATAGCTTGAAATTCATGTAGTACTGTATATATTAATGAAACATCTCACTTTTTGAGAAGGGATTCATTGTATAAATAATGTATCCACGTTCCAAATTTGTATTCATATCACCCATCCAAAGATTTAATGTTATTAACACCAAACATTAATTAGAAACCCATGTAAGTCTGTGAACCCCTAGTGTGTTGACCTAATTATTCAGAATCAAATTATTTGAGTGAAGTATTGGGTGGAAAAAGGAGATGGAATGGAGATGGGGAGCTGCATGTGTATCAGGCAGAGGGTTTCTGTGTCCATAATTTCCAGTGATGTTCTCCAAAAACTTTTTTGTCTATTTGTTTTGTTTCAAAATTAAGAGAAATATAAAATTACGTCATAGGTCTGGGCTTTTCTACCCAAGCATTTGTTTCCATATGACTAAATCAAAAACAATCCTTTGGGAAACTTTTAATAAACTAAAAGCAAAAACTGCAGTTTTCCAGTTCTTTCTCACACATACTCTGAAAAGCAGGGAGCTTGTTCCACAGCATGAGGAAGGTTCGGGCCCCTATGATTACTCTCTTGAGCCAGTTACTAGTGCTTCCTGAATTGGGCTGAGGATTGGAGTAAATGGATCAAAACTTCTCTCTGCTTTAGGCTCTTAGGTCTAGAACCTAAAAAATCTAAAGACCAATAAAAATTACTAATGCCTTTTGATTCTTATATATACAGTAATTTGGCTACATTTATAGGAGTAAAGTTGGTTTGTTTGCTTACTTGTTTCTTTGTTTCTTTGTTTGTTTGGCTCATGAACAACAGAAATGTATTTTTCATAGTTCTGGAGGTAGAAGTTCGAGATGAGGCACCAGCATAGGTTGTGATGAGTGCTGTCTTCCCAGTTGCAAAGCACAGATCTTCTCACTGTGTCTTCACATGATCAAAGGAATGAACTTGTTTGTGAACATGTCGGGTCTAAGAAATGGACACGATAAATCAAATTAAACCAGGCTCTATGCTCATAGCCTAAGATAGAAGGTAGAAAGTTAAATTTCAGTAGTTTCTCAGTATACTACAATACTTTCTAGGGTTATATAGGAGTCCTCCACCAAAACCTCATGTGTTTGGAAGGGGAGTAGATCATGGGCACACCATACTCATCAGTGGATTAACCCAATGATGATGAGTTCATAGCTGATTTGGTGTTAGGAGCTGAGACCTGGTCTGAAGGAGAAGTTAACTGGGCAGTGAGCTGGAGAAGTCTGTCTCCTTCACTCACTCCTCCTTTCTTGTCTCTGCTTCCTGGCCACCATGATGTCAGCAGCTTCCCTCCACCTAGGCCCTTCCACCTTGCTATTTCTGCCTTAGAACGGACTATGAACTGAAATCTTTAAAAAACCATGAGACAAGGGAAAAGAAAAAAATATGAGAAAATGAAAAAATAGAAACAAAGTCTCTGTAAATAGGGAAGGGTGGAGGGAGTGAAAGGAGGGCAGGAAAAAAATAAGAACTAAGATGCATCATGTAAAGGTACAAGATCCCAACAATGAATGTAACTGTATTTTATACCTAAAATGTACCAATAAATTAAAAAAACAAAACAAAAAAACATGAGGCAAAATAAGCCTCTCTTCTTTTACATTGGATCCTCACAGTCTGAGGAGTCCATCTGAATTCAGTGCCTGTTTCCTTCCAGTGGTCATAAGCCAGGGCATCCAGAGCCACACGTTCATGAACAGCCACATGCCATCCTCTCTGGGCCTGGCACTTGTCATTCACACAGGCTGCATAACTGCAGCCCAGAGCTATAGAAGCTAATTCACTCCCTCTCGAGTGAACTAACAGATAAATACTCTTGGCTTTGACCCCACTTCATCTCAAATGCCAAGTTGTACCCATGGTAGCATGTCTGCCACAGATGGAGATTCTGAAAATCAGAAGACTCCCAGCACATGCTTCTGTCTTCCATTACTCCAGTACACTTGACTCCAGGACCTTCATCCCAACCCAAGCTGGGTGTGGTGCTGGTCCCAGCAAGAAGAGCAGGGAAAAGCTGGCTCACGCTTGGCATGATACATCACCTCTGGATCATTGTATTGACCTGTCTCTCCCCTCCAATGCTGCATCGTGCTGATAGTGAGTTACATGTTGTTGTTTTTGCCCACTAGGGTCAGAGATAAGAAGAAATGGGCATTTTTCCAGTCCTTTCCAGTTATTCAGGCTGAATCCAGTTTGTGACATTTAAGGAGTCATTTTGGGGGGAAAAAAGGATTTCTGTAACTTCCCTACTAAAACAAATCTGTGTCTATTAAAAGCCAGTTATACTTAAGCTATTGTAGGAACTTTTTGAAGTGCAGTGAGAAATCATTTTATTCTTTACTCTTTTTATAAAAACTTCAACTCCCAATGTGAATTGTTCATTCATTTTGAAGACATATATAAAGTGTTTATAAATTATATTCTCTATTTTAAGATGCAGGCACTATTATTATATTTATTTTACAGATGAAGAAACTGAGGTACAGAGAAGCCTTATAATCAGCTTTCAAACCATGCAGTTTATCTCCAAAATCTGTGCTCTCAACTGCTATACTTTGTTACCTGTCCATTTTAAAGTTCTATGAATGAGAAAGAATTAGCTCATTATTCCAGCTTTTTTTCCTCCTTTTAAATTTTAAATTCACTTGTCCTGCACTGAGAAATTTTACAGGGCTTCAACATAGTTTGGACATAAACATCAAATGCTTATGGTGACTTTTTTTGTTTGTTTGTTTGTTTCAAAGGATTATTGGGACTTTGCAGAATTCTGCTGAGTTTTCAGAAGCCTTTAATTGCCGAAAGAATTCATATATGAATCCAGAGAAGAAGTGTCGGGTTTGGTGATCTTCGCAGGAGGCAGTGCATCCCCTGGCTCAACGTGCCAACACCACAGAAATGGGGAACTCTAGCGGGAGAGAGTGGGCTCCGGAGGTCACTGCAACTACTTGGGCTAATTAAGGAAAGCATCATAATACAAATGAAATTAGGATTTTCTGGGAAAATTATGGAAGGAAGAGGGGGTCTAAGGTCTGTCAAATCAGTCACTTCTCAAGTGTAAATAATGATTAATTCCAATAGACATTATTACAATTCATTTCTATTTCTCATATTTCTGTCACTTTGATGTTTTCCCTAGAAAATAGTGTTAATCACTTGCAGCTGACCAGGATTTCTATTCAAGGAGTGAAAGAAGATGTTGTATTTATGCAGTTGGACACCAAAATCACAGTGGTTATATGATCATTTTAAACATATGGCCTAAATACTTGTTTTTACTTTTTTTGCAATATTTATACTCCTCCAAAACTCTTCCAAAGAACTCTTATACATAATGGGGCCTTAGAGCTTACATAGCTTTAAACTCATTTGCCATACATTAGTTTATTGTCATTATTTTATTTTAAGTACTGTTAGTGCAAAAATGAAAGTCTAAAACTTGTGTTGTACCTGCTTTACTGATATTAAGTCCCCTACAATTTTCTAACAATTCTTGCTCTCTCTGTCTCTCAAAACTTGGTCTTTTTAAACGATTTGTAGTAATGTATAAATAATAATTTTTATATTTAATTGTTAACTACACTTAAAACTAAGTAACTGTTATTATAGGTGTTCAGACAGTGTTCATGTTTCTGACCCTCCCTATCTGATGCACTATTCTGACACTTTTTTGATTAGTATGGTTTAATTTTTATATTTAATTGTTAACTACACTTAAAACTAAGTAACTGTTATTATAGGTGTTCATTAAATATTGAAGTTTCAGACCAAGATAAACTGTTATGAACCAAGATCTGTAAAGTGATGTACAGATGAAAATTTGAGACTTTTTTAAACTTATAAATCATATTGATGAAAAGCTTTGAGCACTAACTTTGGAGTAAAAATTGTCATTGAACAGTTGTCTAAAGATATAATCTTATGGTTTACAAACAGGATTTTTTAAAATTAAACCTGTCCCTAAGAGTGGCTATGATAAAAGGGCAAAATTGCATTTACATAGCTCTGTGACCCTTTATCTTTTTAGGTTTGTCATGGAAAAAATATTTTGATAATAAATTGAAGTTATGACCCCATTATTTACTAAGCCTTTGTGTGAGCCGTCCAGCTTTAGAAAGTGCATTTATTTCTAAATAGGAATGGGAGGCCTCCAGTAGACCTACTTCTGGAATTCTAAGTCATGTAGATTTCTGGGCGGGGAGTATGTCTAGTCCCTAACAAGAATTCATCTCTTGAGCTTTTATGTTCCTCTCCTTCCCTATCCTGTTGGCTAGTTTAGCTCATTTCATTACTTGATGAAGACTTTACAAACAAGGTACAGTTCCATAACCTTTAATTTTTCTAACAAAATGTAAAAACAGAGAATTTTTATCCAAAATTTAGGTATTAGTTTTCCTTCCCTTGAAAAATTCCCATTTGCCTTTAAAATGTTATTGAAATATAACAATACTCTTATATACATAAAAATTGCATATAGCATAAGTGTAGAGGCCACTGAAATCACTCTCTCGGAACATCCAAAACTTATAGCCAAAACCTGTAAAAAACAAAAGGTTGCCTTAGAAGCCTGCTTTTGTCATTTCAGTCCTCTACTATCCAGATCCCTCATAGCATACACTACATTTGCCTGTATTGTCTTTTAGATAAATGTAGAATCAGTCAGCATACATTCTTTAGTGTGTTTTCTTTCTTTCAGCCTTACATTTGTGAGCATCAACTATGTTGTTACGTTGACTATGGATCTTTAATTCTCATGGCTGAATAATATTCTATTGTGTTATCACACTACAATTCATTCATCCATCCTATGGTTAATTGGATCTTGATACACTTCTTGTTTCTGGCTATTAGAAATAATGTAACTATGAGTTATAAACTGTGTCTGCATATTAATGTTTTTACTTGAATCTTTAGTGGACTCATCTCCCCAAATCTTTGCAAAACTTATTATAAATATTGATAATATAATTTCAGCTAACCATGAATATTTTTATGCTTTCCCCTTTAACACAATCACTATTATCATGGATAATTCAAAGTATATTTTATGTCTATATTTCTTTAAAATAAATATACTTAAGTGATATTTGTAGTTGAAATAATAGGAGCACGTAGTGCTTAATAAAACAGCTGTCTCTGAGTTATTTTACTCTCATCTTCTCAAAACTACTGAAAAGGCAGAAGTGGAGAGTAATACAGATTATAAAAGGCCATTAGTGTCCTCACTGCTAGCTCTTGAAAACATTAGACACCCACCCCTGTGGAGCAACAACTCCAGTACCTGGATCCCTGCTCTCTATATAAGTAAGGTTTGGGGCCAGTATGTAGCTGAATGGTGCTATGCCTGCCTGGCAAGCACAAGGTCCTGAGTTCAATCCCCGTATTGGTGGGGGGGTGGGGGGGTGGAGAAGAAGTCAAAATAGCAATTTCTTTTCCTCCGACATCTGGAAATCATTAACTGTACATGGTGCTCTTGAGTCGTATGGAACCTTATGATCTCTCTCAACCACTCGTAACCATTTGGAATTGCCACATTAAATAATGCATATATATAATCTTAAATGTAAATCTATTTCCACAATGCCTGAGTTCTAGTCAAGAAAAGAGTTTGGCAGCCGAAACGCCAACTATGGAATGAAGATGGGAGCTCAGGAATGAAGATAGGAAGAAACTCTTGGTAACACATGTTAGTAAGGAGTTTACCTCCATGCTTTACTGTCTGTGTGGATTCTAAGTGCAGGTGGAAAGGATGTTACCCTGGAATATGTCTTTGTTCTAGTCCTATTCTACTACTACTGGCAAGATGACCTTGAGCATTTGTATGTTCTTTGGGGCCTCTGTTTCTGCCACCCAAATAAAAAAGGATTAGATTCTACTGGTTTTGACCAAAAAAGGAATATGTGTCCATTGCTTCCTTGACCTTTAGTCTGTGCTCCTGTTAAGAATCACTGGGCAGGGTGGGGATTTAGCTTAGTGGTACTGGCGCCTGCCTGGCAAGTGCAAGGTCCTGAGTTCAATCCCTGGTACTGAGGGAAAAAAAAATACTGGGCACCATAATCTCAAATCCCTCACTTAAATGCCTAAGCCCCATTAGACCACGTTAGCCCAAAGAACAAGGACCAAAGTTTTTTTTCAAGTTTTGGTCTGTGCTCCTGTTAATATTAGGCATTTAGATAAGGCAAAAGCTTGCTAATTTTCTGAAAAGCTTTATCTTTCCTATTGCCAGGGCTAGCTCTTGAAGTAGAAAACATCTGCTATTTTAGAAAGAACATAAGATTCCACCCTGTCAAAGAAGGATAATCAGAATTTTTTAAATCAGGTTCAAGTCTCAGGAATACAGAATAACAACAGCCATTTTTTCCATTAAGTTTATTATACATTTTAGGTATACAATACAGTTACATTCATCATTGGGATCTAACAACAGTCATTTTTGATAACTGTTGTTTTTATATGTCGTTCACTCTACTTAAAATTCCCATTCCCCATCTAACCTACCCCACATATTTCTTGAAATATATTAAGACTAAATGGAGCTTTTATCTCTATATAGTCTTACATTTTCTGCTTACTTCAAAATGAATTTCTTACAAATGAATGGCATAAACTATTTTACCAATATTTTCATGTTTTCACCACTCTTACTTCCAAAGATAACCATAGTTTACTGATGAGATTTGTTTTCAAAAACTTAAGTGAAATGGTTACTGGATGTCATAGGGAAACACAGGAATAATCAGATAACTTATGCAGAAGGCACTGCAGTGCCCTTAGGCTGAAGAACTTGACCAGCTGGTTCATCAGGAAGAGAGGAGCTGTATCTTAATACTCTCGATGGTACATTTATTTCTTTCTAATTGCTTTTTAAACAATATTTGCTTAGTTGCAGCTCCTTTGTGCTTTGTAATTTCTCTAAAATACTAAGGAATACTCTTGTCATTTTCAACCTCATAGGCAAAATGCTGTGCTTATATTTTGACAAAACAGATCTGAGTGATACAAGAGAAGCCTGGCAGAAAAGTAAGCATTTGGCTCTTGCCAGAAATAATCATAAGCTCTCAGCTGGGAAGAGTAGAAAGACTAGAAAGCCTAGTATATCTATTTAATCTTTATACTTCAGGATCCTCCTTTCTACCCAAAAACTAAAAATTCTCCAGGTATCAGGCATATTAACATCTTACTGTATTGCTATAAGTGCACTTGATATCATCTCATATCTGATCATCTCAAGTTATAATACATTCTAGAAATTTACTCCATATTCAGGAAGACTCAAACCAGTCAAGTATGTGGATTATCATTTACCTTTGTGTAAATCCTTCACATGTGCTATGAATGCTCTATGTCCTGCTGAAATGCAGCATCTGAGATGTGATGTTAGAAAGTTTGTGGCAGTTTTATGGTGTCAAAGAAATAGGGATCTCAAAAAGCTAAATATCAGAAAATGTTTAGATTTGTTAAATGAAACTACAAAAATGACACAATGCTAAATATGTTTTATCATTTCAATTTCATTAAAATATCGTTGCACAGAAAAACAATTGAAACAGTATATGCCAAAAATTAATCACAATTAGGTCCAGGTGGTAGTATGGTTAAGTGATTCTCATTTTCTTTATTTTGTTTTATTTCTTTTTTTTAAGGGCATGTATTTTAAGCTTTTCTGTGATGGGAAAATGTCAGTGTTGAAGATAATTTTTCACAATTTTACTTGAAAGAAAGAAAGAAGCAATAATAAAGGGATGAAATGAGAAAAAACATTGACCAAAGGAAAAAAATATGATTTCCCTAAATTTGCATTTGTTAATTTATGTAAGAAGGTATTCTGTTTGGTATTTCAGGCAATTTAGACAAGGTGCAGTGGATTTGGGCCAGGGGGGCCCTGCCCTGGAGACAGAGCAGCTCTCACAGGATCAAGTCAGGCACCACCTATGTGTGACACACTGTACCATACCCATTAGAAGATAAAAATAAACAAAAATGGCTTCCTTTTTTACATAGTAAAGGCACTGAAAGTGTACACAAACATGTCAAAACATGTACAGAAAACTAAATTTGAGAATTCAAGGGAGTTTCCTTCATGCTAAAGACATCCTGAAGGAAATTGTACTTAAATTCTGTTTGTTTATATGGATAGGATTTTGACCATTAAAGGAAGTGAGGGAATATTTTGGTTTAAAATTAGATAACAAAAGAGTAAGAATTCACAAGCACTGTCTCGCTGCTGGCTTCAGAAGAGCAGAGCAGAAAGGGCTTGCACACCTTGAACACAGTTACTCATTATTCGCAGTTGGCATGTCTTATAACAACAAACGCTATCCTTATTTATTCACTAAGTATCTTATACTATTCTCAAAGTCTATTTGTTATCTTTCTACTTTGAGAGATGTCTTGTGATTTCTTGCATTTGCAAGCAGTTGTGTGATAAAGATAACATTTTGTCCTATTCCTGGGAACTTAGAACTGTGCTCTATTTTAGATCCTCTCACTAACTTACTGCACTAAGAAAATAACTAATTTCTCTGAATTTTTATTGTCTCAGAATTAAAATCAGAGTTAGGATCATGGCTTTTTCAAAAAACAGAAGGCAGACCGATGGAATGTTTCAGCAAACTCCTTAAAAAGGACAAAAGCTATCACTTTTTTTTTGGAGAGGGCATAAAGTCATAGAAATATCTGTATCTACGACCCAGGGACATCCAGAGTCAAAGCAGAGAGCAGCCAAATGTCTAAATGGTGAGCATTTGGCTCATCTAAGCCTCTGCTTCCTCCTCTGCACATGCACATCTTGGACGGATACTGGACCAGTTGCCAACAAATTGTATTTTCACCTGCATTGAAACTTAATATCCTTTACTTTCCCTGGCACTAGTTAAATTGTATGAATCTTTAAAAACATGAGGATGTTTGGCTAAAAAAGTAAATTTTTTTTTACCATATTGTCTTTCCTTTCGTGTTGCTGTTAGTCGCTTACCTGATCCCTCTTGAATCATGTTTCAAATTTTCAATATACATTCTTGAAAAAGAAAAGACAAAAACTGCAATCCTGTAAATAGTAAAGGATTTTTTTTTCAGAGGTAAAAAGCAAAAATGAGAACACACTCAAAACAGAATTGAATTTTGAGAAAAGCAATGATTTGTGGGAAACAGTTTATAGTTCATTGCGCAAATATCTTCACTTCTCTCAGAAAATGTCACTGGCACCAGAGATGTTGGCAAAACTATTTACCTCCTTTGAAACTTAGTTTCTGCAGACATGAAGTGTACTGACGTTTTTGTTAAGCCGAATAATTCCCCTCCTACAACCATGTCCACATGCTAATTCCCGAAACCTATGAAAATGTTAGGATTCATGGCAAAGTGAATTAAAGGTTACAGATGAAATTAAATTTTCCCATCAGCTTTTAAGAAAGGAAAATTATCTGAGGTTATCCAAGTGGACCCAATACAACCATACAGGTTCCTAAAAGTGGAAGAGAGGCAGAAGAGTAGCTCAGTGAAGTGATGTAAGAAGGACTAGACCCGTTCTTGCTGACTTTGAAGATGGAGGCAGGTAGATGGTCATAAGCCAAGAAATGTAGCAGCCTCTAGAAACTGGATGGAGAAGATAAGAAAATGGGTTCTTCCTAGAGTACCCAAAAGGAGTAGATCCCTGCCAGTACCTTGACTTTGGCTCAGACACGTCATATTTCTGATCTAGAGAACTATGACATAACAAATCTGTGTTGTTTCAAGCCACTGTTTATGGTAATTTGTTATAGAAGCTATAGAAAATATATAGCATAAGTAAATACTCAGTAGATAATACTTTGGGGTTATTTAAACCTTTTGAAAATTATGCTAATTTCACATTATCTTCACACAACTATAAAAATTCAGCCCAAAATATTTACTATTCTTCATTTATCTGTTATTACATAATAAGTATATGGAAGAAACATCAATTTGAGATAACTGAGTATGAGTTGGTCTATTCTAAACTAAAAAAAAAAGTCATAAGTGACTCACTTATGCAGGGACAAACACTGGCCTTTATAAAATAAACATAATTCATCATACAGAGGTTAAGTATTTGGTAATTAAGCCTTGCCTATCACCCACCTTTCATCTTTATATACAAACTAAGCATCAAGAAGGTGTTCCTTGGATAAGCACTAATGTGTCAAAAATATTTATGACATTATCCTCTAAAGTAGCTAAAATATAAATTGTTTAAGCAAAGCTTTAAGAAAATAGAAACCATAGACCATGGAGCCTTGAGATTTTTCTGCACTTGGCACATTGGATTTCCCTGAAAGTTTATTTATAGGTGTTATGTTTACCTAAAAATTAATTGTTATATTCTCAGGAACTTTTGGACTTCTGCTTTAAGGAGTATGTGATAAAAAAGACATATTACCCAAATGCTTAGATATTAAAAATAAAGAAGAGACGATCACACTGGAAAATGTGTGCTGTCCTTGGTAGCAACACAAAGAACCTTGCTCGGATTTTTAATGTACAACACCCCTAAGTTACATATTTACATTGCTCACAGCTTTTTCAACATTTATTGTGTTCTGTAGATAGCAAAATGAATAAACAGAACCCAGCCCTTGGTGTGCTGAAACCAGTTCACAGCAGCTCATTAGAGCTGACTGTCAAATTTTCAGGAATTTCGTGATATCATATTGGTAGCTTTGAATTGCCCAACATTACAAATCGGAGTTGGCTGGTTTATTTTTTTCTCAGAGAAGCTGCTGTTCAGCCTTTACTACCACAGCACTAGCCCTGAGCTAGAGCAACTCACAATCCAGAAACTGAAACCAGGGTCACCATTCTAAAGTTATACACAATCTAAGGAGGGCTTCTTAAATATCTTAGATATAGTAGCTTTACATATTTGTAACGTCTCCTG